ATGGCAGGTAGTTTTCTGCAGCTTGGAAAAATGAAGTGATAGCTTCCAGCTAGAGCCAGCACTGAAAGTGAATAAAATTCATCCAAAAACTTTACCAAAAATAAAATAGTGCTGTGCTTAAAATAAAATACTCTTAATAAATATGTACCATTCAGTGAATATCTAATAAATATTATAGTAAAAACAACACAACAAAACCACTTGATCAGTGACCAAATAATATGTCCTTTCAAACATATGATAGTGATGTTACTAATTACATAAATGTCCAAGGGTTTTGCAAAGTCCACTTCTCATGCCCAAATGATTCCGTAATCCACTTCTGTGAAACAGATCTGGTAAACCGTGTACTGATGACCACTCAGGTGGACAGAATCTTACCTTTTAGATAAGACCTTAAAATTATAAAAGGTCAGATCAAACCTTCACTTTAAAATGGGGTTAATCATCTTTCCTCCTTATATTGATTTTGAGTATAGAAATCCTTGGCTAATAGCACATGATGGTATAAACAGGAAAGGCTCCATCCGTGCTGGGAGAACACAGTAGTGATTACTGCTTGTGGTTAAAATGGCAATAATCACATGAAAAACCTGACAGGCAGGTTGTACCCAAGTTGATCAAACCAGCTTAGGTACATTCAGTCCACGCATACATGGTTTGAATCTCATCTGGTCCCTGCTGAACTTCATGAGATTGAAACCATCTATGGCTGGCTTTAGCCCCTTCATCACCTGAGGTCAATCAGTAGTGTAAATATTTTATAATACATCTGTAACACCATTTTTAAAGTAGAACTGTAGGCAAAACCTTTCTATTCCTTTTGAATAGAGTATGGATGGGTTATAACCCTTGTCAATTTTTTTTTTAGCCATCTGTGTCCCATTGGGACATATACAGTGGGGCAAAAAAGTATTTAGTCAGCCACCAATTGTGCACGTTCTCTCCACTTAAAAAGATGAGAGAGGCCTGTAATTGGCATCATAGGTAGACCTCAACTATGAGAGACAAAATGAGAAAAAAAATCCAGACAATCACATTGGCTGATTTGGAAAGAATTTATTTGCAAATTATGGTGGAAAATAAGTGTTTGGTCAATATCAAAAGTTCATCTCAATACTTTGTTATATATCCTTTGTTGGCAATGACAGAGGTCAAACGTTTCCTGTAAGTCTTCACAAGGTTGGCACACACTGTTGCTGGTATGTTGGCCCATTCCTCCATGCAGATCTCCTCTAGAGTAGTGATATTTTGGGGCTGTCGCTAGGCAACACGGACTTTCAACTCCCTCCAAAGGTTTTCTATGATGTTGAGATCTGGAGACTGGCTAGGCCACTCCAGGACCTTGAAATTCTTCTTACGAAGCCACTCCTTCGTTGCCCGGGCAGTATGTTTGGGATCATTGTCATGTTGGAAGACCCAGCCACGTTTCATCTTCAATGCCCTTGCTGATGGAAGGAGGTTTGCACTCAAAATCTCATGATACATGGCCCCATTCATTCTGTCCTGTACATGGATCAGTCGTCCTGGTCCCTTTGCGGATAAACAGCCCCAAAGCATGATGTTGCCACCCCCATGCTTCACAGTAGGTGTGGTGTTCTTTGGATGCAACTCAGCATTCTCTCTCCTCCACACACGATGAGTTGTGTTTCTACCAAACAGTTCTATTTTGGTTTCATCTGACCATATGACATTCTCCCAATCCTCTTCTGGATCATCCAAATGCTCTCTAGCAAACTTCAGACGGGCCCGGACATGTACTGGCTTAAGCAGGGGGACACGTCTGGCACTGCAGGATCTGAGTCCCTGGCGGCGTAGTGTGTTACTGACGGTAGCCTTTGTTACGTTGGTCCCAGCTCTCTGCAGGTCATTCACTAGGTCCCCCGTGTGGTCCTGGGATTTTTGCTCACCGTTCTTGTGATCATTTTGACCCCACGGGTTGAGATCTTGCGTGGAGCCCCAGATCGAGGGAGATTATCAGTGGTCTTGTATGTCTTTTATTTTCTAATTATTGCTCCCACAGTTGATTTGTTCACACCAAGCTGCTTGCCTATTGCAGATTCAGTCTTCCCAGCCTGGTGCAAGTCTACAATTTTGTTTCTGGTGTCCTTCGACAGCTCTTTGGTCTTCACCATAGTGGAGTTTGGAGTGTGACTGTTTGAGGTTGTGGACAGGTGTCTTTTATACTGATAACAAGTTCAAACAGGTGCCATTGATACAGGTAATGAGTGCAGGACAGAGGAGCCTCTTAAAGAAGAAGGTACAGGTCTGTGAGAGCCAGAAATCTTGCTTGTTTGTAGGTGACCAAATACTTATTTTCCACCATAATTTGCAAATAAATTCTTTCCAAATCAGCCAATGTGATTGTCTGGATTTTTTTTCTCATTTTGTCTCTCATAGTTGAGGTCTACCTATGATGCCAATTACAGGCCTCTCTCATCTTTTTAAGTGGGAGAACTTGCACAATTGGTGGCTGACTAAATACTTTTTTGCCCCACTGTACCTATACTTCCTGTCCCATAGCCAAAGCTCTGATGAAGGGAGTTTGTCTCCCGAAACGCGTTAGACTACCTCATTAGGGGTCTATCGTCACTTTGGACTGTCATTATGGACTCTTCTTGTCTGTTTATATTCCCCTTTTGGTTTGTGAGTATGCATTTTTATGCTTCATAATAAATTCTTGGTTTATTACGTTAATGCACGAAGAGAGTGCGCCCTCTTTTGCTTTTGTTCACCAGAGAAGAGGAGAAGCCTAGAGCACTTTTGGGGAACCCCAGAAGAGAAGGTTTGTGGCCGCTCTGTGCAATACCAAGATCCACTGCACATTCACCATTTAAGTTTATAATGAAGGTTGGTTGCTATGAGTTACTGTGCTTTGCTGCTCACTCTAACAAAAATATTCCTCATCTTGTAAAGAACTGTAAGTAGAACATAATTGCAATATTTTGTATTGCAAAAAATCCCGTCTTGCTTTGTTCATGCTTTCTCCCTTGCACCATGCATATCCTTTTGACTCTTTGTATGTACTTCCTGTGGATGTGTTCGTGCTCCTGCAACATATGAAAATCTCAGATCCCCATCTGATAATTTTACTATGGCAGTTCGATTTGGCTGCTTGTAGTTCAACTCAGTAGTGCAGAGCAAAAGGTGCGAGTAAAGGCGAGTATGCATTGTCACCCTAGGAACGGAAGTGTCTGGAATAAATTGAAAGCAGGGTATATAAAAAAAAAAATAGAATAAACGTTTTCTTAACACCACAGGAACATGTGCAATAACATATTATTTGATTGAAGTGTTTGGGTTTAGATACATTGTAAATAAGACTGCATTTGTACATTTTGCCCTGTAATATTGTTACATTATCTGGAACGTTGGACTTGGCGCAAGTGTGCTTGTCTGTGTTTGCACAGGCTATTAATCTGCCAGACAAGGAAGGTGCTACAAACAGAAGATGCCAGTGTTGTACTCAGGTTTCCACTGTTAGCTTTGCATTTTAATTAACTGGTGCTTTTTTATCCAGTCTTTCCCTTTTAGCCTTTTTTTTAATTGCGCAGCATACCAATTTGTCATTTTCTCTGGTATCTTCTGTGATCAGTCCCTAATAGACCCCCACTGCCTGTGTCACTTTCTTTTCCCTTTGCCTTTACTTTTAGAATAACTTGCAATCTCATTTTCTCACTTTATTCAATTCTCAGCATTCTCTCCTTGGCTGTGTGTCTGGGGGCTTCTACGATTCTCATCATACCCCAGCCATCTGTCTGATCTTGCATCTCCACAGTAGCAGCTCTTTGGCCCTTGTGAAAGAGTCCCTAATAACTGTCTATCTTAAAGACTGTACAGGCTTATAGATATGCAAATAGATACGCAAACCCATATTAGCAATTAAAATAAAGATCATTTTTACTGTTATTGTGTGTTTTGATTATAATAGGATGTTTTTTATAAAAAATTAACACTGGTTTAGATTTTCTGATTTATACATCCAATTATTTGTGAGGTGCATCATTCAAGGAGTAGCAAAATTTTAAGTTTTGCACGGAAATATACGGTCTGTTTGATATGAGCTTTTCTTTTTTTTTGTCCAGGCATTGCTTAAATGGACTAGGATATACCAATATGTAAAATCCCTTGGTTGCCTGCAAGCATTTTTTTTCTGGGAATACAGTACCTAATCCCCAGCCTTCTCTGGGATAAAGCTCTCACATTCCACCCCCAGAGGCTGTCTGTAGACCAAATATGCACCCTCCCTGGTCTTTCAGGAAGAACTTGAGGTATAACTAAAGGCTAAACGTTTTCTTTAGTTTATGGATAAGAACGCCTGTCAGGCTTTTATTGCTGTCTGTGCCCCATTAGGAAGTTTCACCCTCTCAATTCGTCCGGTCTACCATTATCATTGAAAGTGAAAGTAAAAGAAAATCCGACATTGTGGGTTGTCCCAAGAGATGTAATACAGGGGAAATCTTCCAATGGGGACAATAGTTCTGGTGACCTGGTGGTCCCCAAGGGATTCCCTTAATTTGTAGAGATTTCCTCTCACTTCCTGTGTTTGGCTATGGGACAGGAAATGGAGGTAAAACTCCCCAACGGAACACAGATGGCAAAAAAGAAAATCTGACGGGTTATAACCCTCCATTACTCTATCCCAAAAAAAAAAAAAAAAAAAAAAATTTTCCTATAGTTCTACGTTAACCATGTCCCAGTACACCTTAAACTAGTTTGTAGGAATTGAAAGGCTTCCAATGCTGGAAGCATTAAAGGTGTATAACATGTAGAAATTAAAGTGTGATGTTAGAAAATGGAAGCTGGTATTGTGGTCTTGTTTCTAAAGATATTCATCCTTTTTTCATTACCTGGTGGTATAGTTACCTGAAAAATGAATGCAGAATGGGGGTAAAAACTTTCCAGGATTCATTGCCTGCATGTTTGTTAAAGTGTTACTAAACCCAGGATACTGCATTCACTATATCTGGTCTCCCACAGAACATGGAAGGGCAATTATTTTAGTAAATATAAACTGCTAAATACCTTTTCTCAACAGCAGTTAGAGCAGTCGAGTGACTTCAATCAGTGTCCTACTGAGCACTGGTTAAAGAATTAGCAGGAGTTTTCTTTCTGCTCTAGGAGGATGCAGAGCCCCTGACCTCTGTTTGGACAGTGTTGATTGGCCCTGTGCTGATCACATGCACTCTCCCAAGAAATAAAAAACCTCTCTAGCACTACACACCAAATTGAGCATGTGCAGAGTGACTTCACACGATATGTCTTATCTGGAGATAAGAGGGGGACACTGGAAGAAGGGGAGGATCAGAGGACAGGATCAAACAGCCTTTTTACACAATGCAGAGGATTAATCCCTTAAGTTCCACAGTAAGTATAACAAGCATGCGTTACTGTATATACAGACTGATTTTACTGCTGTGGGTTTAGTAACACTTTAAAGGTCATTCAGTCACTAGGTATTCAAGCCATAATAATGAATGGGTACTCTGGAGCATGCACTTTTAAAATCTTGGCAGGCATGGCTACTTGCCTATTTACTATAAATCATATTACTGGTTTGCTTTAAAGAATAAAACATCCTGCCAGCTGCCATTTTTATTGTCTGTTAAGACGTAGAGTTCAGTAGGGCACTCTCATTTGATAGAGGGATGGTGCTTGGTTGCACTTAGCCATGAAGTTGGGAAAAATAAGGCCCCGATAACAAAGTGAAAGGAAATCAGAGGGAGGAACTGAAGAAGCTTTTCTGGCTAAACTTAATAGCTGTTGTTTAGGCAAGACGCTTACCTCTGACAGTGTAACAGTGAGTACAGGTTCAGGTAAACTGAAGTCCCAGATTTATAGACTACAAGCAGGCAGGCTCTTTATTGCAGACATGCAACGTCTCTTCTGCAATAAAAGAAACCTACATGCCTGCTCAGAATCTTCTTTGGAGTGCACACTGAGCTGTGCAAGTGCAGCTCAGTTAACATTCTGGTACAGAGCCTGTGTGCTGGGATGACTGAACTCCTGTATATACACAGGATTGATCTCATCCCATATTGGCCATCCCTCCATGTAATCACAAAGTCAATCAGGTGTCAGCGCAAAAAGGCAGAACGTTTAAAAAAGAATAAGCTTCTGTATTACCATGGATAATAATTAGACTTCTACTTTCTTTCATTTACTGTTAGTGAGGTGCAATAATGTCTTTACAGTTATTTCAAGGAAAAGATTTGCTGTAATCTCTGCTATTCTCAGCAGCATATACTTTCTTTCCTTTGCTCCCCTGCTGCATCGTAAGTACTAGGAGCTGAAGAAAATACTGCCTTCCTACATGTAACAGTGCTGTTGCAGGGTGAGTACTTACTTGGAAGTAAGCTACAACTTCAGCAATTTGTGGCTTACAAAGGAATAGGGTGACAGGACGGCAAAGGGAATCTATGCATCTGCAAAGGTCTGCATTAGAACTTGTTGCATTGCGCTGTATGGGCAGATTTACTTTAAGGTGGCCATAGCTATGCAGATATTTCCCTAGGAATGACAGGTGGGAAGACATCTTCCATGCTAGGTCATGCGATGGCACCCTGCTCAGTGTCTTGTTCCCTGAACATTTGCATAGTGTATTTTAAAGTATATGCAAATCATCGCCTCGTAAAACAACCCATACAATTTAAAATAGAAATGAAAAATAAAACATTTGTGTATAGACATGAAATAAATAAAACATTTGTGTATAGAAATAAAAAAAAACATAAATACATTTTCCCCTTTTCATAAGTGGTCACATACCCTCTGTTCTCAGCTGTATGGAGAGGTGAGGGAGGAGAAACAGCAGCACACTGGTCTTCCCAGTAAATGGATGTGTATGGGGGGCGTGTCAGTACAAGTCTGATAATTGGAGCAGAGCAGAATGAGTTCCCAGTACAGCTAGAGAACTGACCATGCTGTGTGCGCTTGTGGCTAGTGTGGTCAGTTTTTAATAGGAAAACAAATGGACTGGCAGGAGCCCCAGGGATTTCACACAAAGGAAGCAATACAAAGAGAACAGGATACTTTTTCATAAAAGTACATGGTACAGCAGGCACATATCAGGAATCGAAAATGTTGGGGTAACCTATTCTTCAACAGTCCAGTGCTCACCTGAGTATTACATTGAATTGTCAAAATGGGGGCAGGAATGGGCTGTTTATGTTGGTCCTTATTTTGTAATGGCTGGGATTTTATTTAAAATAAAAATGTCTTACAGAGCATATTTAGTAAGAATGTTTGTATATTTACAGGAAATCCCCAATGATCTTAAAAAATACAATCTTTGTAACTCAGTCTATTAACCCACTGTCTGAAATGGGCAGCAACCTATTGAAATCCTGCCTATCACTTAAGGACCAATGTTTTTACTATCTTAGCATGAGAGCATCACATTCACAACAAATGCACCAATTTGCCCAGCAGCGAAATGATTAATATTTTATGGCATTTTAAGTGGTCTTCGCTATTGCTATAGATGGCTGTGACTACTATGCTTTTATTGTGCTGTTTGCAGTAGTCAGTTCCAAGTGTTTTCTTGTTTTATCTGTTATACCAGACAGACCCCCATGAAGAGCAGATGGTGTTTCTCAGTGCGCATGGACTTTGCGTGTGTTGTGTCGCTCTTTTGTGTATGTTTTGTGCACTAAAATTCTCTGCAGGATACAGCATCAATGCATGTAAAAATTATTGTGTAATAAAAACACACGGGACTATTTATTACCTTGCTGTGCAGTAGGTCATGGAACTTGGTCAGAACCCCTCTATTAGTATTTTAGTTAACTTTAAGTTGTGTACCCCCCTTGCCTCTCTTGTTCTACAATACAATTACCAGAGCACTCATGCAGACATTTGTGTGGCCTTGATCAGACATAACAGTATGACCATAACCGATAAAGTGAATATAATTAATTGTCTCATTACAATGGCATCTGAATTTGGGTGGGATATACTAGGCAGCAAGTGAATATGTTGTCCCTGAAGTTGGCATTGAAAGCAGATAAAATGGGCAAACATAAGAATATGAGCAATTTTGATAAGGGCCAAATTGTAATGGGTAGACAGGACCTACCAAAACTAGTCAAAAGAAGGATAACCAGCAAATTGTAGAAAATGGGCGGCCAAGGCTCATTGATGCATGTAGAAAGTGAAGGCTGGCCAATGTAGTCTGATCCAATAAAAAAGCTACTGTAGCTGAAATTGCTGAAAAAGGTAATGCTGGTTCCCATAGAAAGGTGTCAGAACAGGAAGGCAAGTGATGAAGGTGGCCTGGTCTGCTGAATTCAAGAATGGTTTGAGGAACACAGCAAGTTTGAGGTTTTGCCTTGGCCTCTGAATTCTACAGTCAGATCTCAATCTAATTGAGCTTCCCTGGGATGTGCTGGAAAAAAACAAGTCTGATCCATGGAAGCCCCACCTCGCAACTTATTGGACTTAACAGATCTGCTACTGATGACTTGGTGCCAGATACCACAGCATACCTTCAGTGGTCTAGTGGAGTTCATGCCTGGGCGGGTTATTGAGGGTGGTTATAACGTTATGGCTGATGACTGCATAGCACTTTAGCAAACTGTCAGTTACTTGAGGCTTACCAATACTTCAGGGGGAACTGGAACCTAACAGACACCAAGGGGTTGATTTTCTAAAGGCAAATAGGTTGTGCACTCCAAATGCACTTGGAAGAGCAATGAAAGTGCAGTTGCTCTAGATCTGAGGGGAAGAGCACCAAATCTGCCATGTCCTAGAAAAAAGGCCAAAATGCAGAAATGTAAACATTGTGAGTAGTTCAGCCAGGTTTTTTTTTTTTTTTAAATAGCACCGTATATCTCAAACTACTAGGGCCACTCGCCTGCAGCCTTTAATAATGTACAGTGCCTTGAAAAAGTATTTATACCCCTTGGAATTTTCCACATGTTGTCATGTTACAACCAAAAACGTAAATATATTTTATTGGGATTTTAAGTGATAGATTAACACAAAGTGGCACATAATTGTGTAGTGGAAGGAAAATGCTAAATGGTTTTCAAAATTTTTTACAAATATCTGAAAAGCGTGGTGTGCATTTGTATTCAGCCCTCCTGAGTCAATACTTTGTAGAACCACCTTTTGGTGCAATTCCAGCTGCAAGCCTTTTTGGGGATGTCTCTACCAGCTTTGCACATCTATAGAGTGACATTTTTGCCCATTCTTCTTTGCAAAATAGATCAAGCTCTGTCAGATTGGATGGAGAGCGTCTGTGAACAGCAATTTTCAAATCTTGCCACACATTCTCAGTTGGATTTAGGTCTGGACTTTGACTGGCCATTCTAACACATGAATATGCTTTGATCTAAGCCATTCCATTGTAGCTCTGGCTATATGTTTAGGGTCGTTGTCCCGCTGGAAGGTGAACCTCCACCCCAGTCTAAACTCTTTAGCAGACTAACAAGTTTTCTTCTTCTAGATTGCCCTGTATTTGGCTCCATCCATCTTCCCATCAACTCTGACCAGCTTCCCTGTCCCTGCTGAAGAAAAGCATCCCCACAACAAGATGCTGCCACCACCATGTTTCACTGTGGGGATGGTGTGTTGGGTGATGTGCAGTGTTAATTTTCTGCCACACATAAAATTTCGCTTTTAGGCCAAAAAGTTACATTTTGGTGTCATCTGACCAGAGCACCTTCTTCCACATGTTTGCTGTGTCCCCCCCATGGCTTCTCACAAACTGCAAACGGGACATCTTATGGCTTTCCCTTTCAACAATGGCTTTCTTCTTACCACTCTTCCATAAAGGCCAGATTTGTGGAGTGCACGACTAATAGTTGTCCTGTAGACAGATTCTCCCACATGAGCTGTGGATCTCTGCAGCTCCTCCAGAGTTACCATGGACCTCTTGGCTGCTTCTCTGATGAATGCTCTCCTTACCCGGCTTGTCAGTTTAGGTGGATTGCCATGTCTTAGAAGGTTTGCAGTCGTGCCATACTCTTTCCATTTTCAGATGATGGATTGAACAGTGCTCTGTGAGATATTCAAAGCTTGGGATACGTTTTTATAACCTAACCCTGCTTTAAACTTATCCACAACTTTATCCATGATCTGTCTGGTGTGTTCCTTGGCCTTCATGATGCTGTTTGTTCACTAATGTTCTCTAACAAACCTCTGAGGGCTTCACAGAACAGCTGTATTTATACTGAGATTACATTACACACTGGTGGACTGTATGTACTAATTAGGTGACTTCTGAAGGCAATTGGTTCCACTAGATATTAGTTAGAGGTATCAGAGTAAAGGGGTTTAAATACAAATGCACGCCACACTTTTCAGATATTTATTTGTAAA